CAGAAAAAAATAAACATGGAATGCTAGGCCTATACTGCATTGTTTTACCAGCGTTATATATGATAATCAGTCTGCTCAACCTTTCTGCTAGCCTAAACCGGTAAAGTACCGTTAAGACTCCGTTTAAATCAAGTACGCAGTTCTACCTTCTACTACAGCAAGCAATTGAAAAACAACGTGTTAACGGCGTAATAATAACGGGGCCATATACACAGCGAGGTTGCCGGCGATGGACGCAGACAATGGAAGACAGTAAAATATAGATCCAAGTCTTGTCACACAAGGCTAACAAACAAACAACAACTAGATCTACTGGTTATCACATCAGGTCTAATGTGATACGCTTTAGAACTACTTCCTTACAGGACCCGCCTCAACAAAGGTCTAAGCCAGTGGTTCCCAACCTTTTTCGAGTGGCGACCCCCTTTTATAAAAAGTAAGTGACACGCGACCCCCATAGAATTAAAAAGCCGAAATTAGTATGGAAATTAATAAGCACTAAAATAAGATTTTCTAGTAGACTTTCAATATGAACTACTCTTGATAACTATTTTAATAGCATGAGTACAATTGCATACTATTCACTAAACCTTCGTGGTTAAGTTTTTAATTTAAAAAAAAAATTGTTAACGCCAACCTATGTCATTATAATTATCTTAATTTTGTTTTTAATCGAGGAATAGTGTTGAAAATATATTCTCGAAAAGTCCATCATTTTTACGTTTGGGTATGAATGGTGAATACTACACCAAAATTGTGTCTGCAGTTTTTCATCTTACTCGGAATCATTCTGCAAATCAAAGAATTCATCTTGTAATTCATCGGGAATGCTGGCAACATGAAGGGAAGAAGAGAATGGGTAATGCGTAAATGCAGATTCTTCTTTTTTCAGCTCAGAGAAATAGCGATGCAGTTCGTTTTCAAGAGAATCAAGATGCCCAGAAATCGCTTCTTTCAAAATTTTAATTATCTCACATCAGATTCATCTACCACACTGCAGAGTTTCTCAAATTTACAATATTTCCAAGATTTGTTTTTTTTTTACCGATTTTGCAGCTTTGATAAAAATGCCCCGAGATCATCATGGAAAGTTATAATATTCTTTCATTTTCCCTGAAGCTTCAGGTTAAGCTTATCTTGATGTTCGAACACATGTGCTAGGTATGATACTCTCTCCAACCACTCTATGTCATTTTAAGTATATCAAAACGTCTTGTTTCCCTTGCACTCCCAAGAACAATTTGATTTCAGATTTCAATTCAAAAACACAATTTACAACATTTCGTTTGACAGCCAGCCTCTGTAGTGTTGAAGAGCAGAACCTCGTGATCTATATTAATGTTTTTGCTCAGTTCTTTGAAGGCTCCAGATTTTATATAATTTACGACTTATTCTAGCAATAGACTCTTGATGTCGATTGGTTAGGGCAGTGGTTAGGGGGCTAAATCTTTTCTGTTTTCTGAAAGCCCGATTTTGAGCTGAACATAGATGGCGCACCATCCGTACAAACCCCCACAGACGTTCTAACCCATTTTAATCATCCAGTTTCAAAAAAGGTATTTATTTTCTCCATGCTATCTTCACAAAAGAGCAACCCTTCTTTGCTATCATCCGCATGAATATAGACACAGACCAGCAACTGCGAACACGAACTCACTTCTGTTGATTTATCAACTTGATAAGCAAATAATGGTGAAAGCTTAATTTCAATAAAAATGTGTTATTTAACATTTACGTACATGCAGCGTTTGATGAGATTTTCTCCTATTGTTTTTTTTTTTTTTTTTTTTTTTTTTTTTTTTTTTTTTTTTTTTTTTTTGCTTGGCATTTTCTATTGCGGCTTTATTTGATGCTTGCACTAATGCTGGTGAAAACTTTTCGTTCGATCAAGTTTCTGGCGTTTGCAACAAGCTTCTTATCGACGAAAGAACTCCATATATATTTTTGGTGTGTTCCGAATGACTCGTCTCAAATGACGTTTTAGTTTTGAAGATTTCATAGATTCGTGACTGAGAACAACTTTGTACAGTGCGCTTTGTTTCTTCTCTATTATATTTCCAGTGATGTAAATGAAGTCGAATTTCAAAAATTCTTCTAAATATTTATGTTTTGTTTCAAATTACTAAGGTTTAGTATACCAGTTTGCGACCCCCCAGAAAGACCTTCGCGACCCCCAGGGGGGTCGCGACCCCCAGGTTGGGAACCCGTGGTCTAAGCTAATCCAGCAAGGAAAGATTATAAACAATAATACGCAGTATAAATAATGGCTCTTCATCGCGTTAGATTATAGATCTAATTAGTTTAATTAATGAGCAGAAATTTGGCGCTGATTCGCGTGCAAACACTACGCGCGGTCAGACAAACACACACATCAAACACTACCCCTCGGTAATTAATTAACGGGAAAGGTTCCATTCAATTTTTTTTAATACTGTGAATAAACCACCTACCCCTAACTTTCCCTCACACCTATGTATGCATAATGGTCGGGCTTAAAGCAACAGAGAGGGATGGGGGGGGGTGCGGGTGACCCAAAATACAATTTTAAGTTCTGAATGGGGGTTCAGTTATTATTGTATGCCGCAGAGGGAGAGGGGGGGGGGGCTTATGGGGTCAAGGATGTTTGTTTGTAACCGGAAGTTACAGTTGGGCTACAGACTAGCTATATCACAAAATCACACCAACAACACTCCAAGCACACTCAAATGATTCAGAAAGTACTTTAATAAAAGGTTTTAAAAACTAGAGAATGATAAGATTTAAATTAACGGTATATATGCATACTATCTAATATAGCTTGATATTAAATTACATGTGAACCCTGTTATTGATTTTTTTCAGAATATGTAAGTTCTAGGACATATTTAAGAGATAACATGTTAACAATGTAAGACATCTAACAATCATAAGAATGGAATACACATAGCAAATCATAGAATACAAACAATAACACTTGTTCAAATGTTATCATTAATAAACAAGAATTAAATGGCCAGATTTTTTTAATGCTGGTAAGCACATTCCTAAGCGCAATAGGTAACAGAAACTTGCATTCATTCACATGTGCAATAAAAACTGTCATGTTTAGCATTGTGATGCTTTCCAATATGAAAACATACTCCTACACTTTGTAGTGCAATTTTTAAATGCAATACATGTAAAGGAGTCCCATTTGTAAACTAACCCAGTACTACATAAATATTTGCAAATTAAATATCCATAAACATCCATAATACCTTTTTTCAGTAAACAACATTTTTAATGCATTGTTAAACGATAAACAATAAAACACACTCTTTACAGCTGCTAAGATATATTTACTTGTGACTAGATTCTGGTATTTAAGATTTTTTACAAAGCTATTTTATTTTGAATATTTCAGAATATAGTTAAAAAATATTATAGTTCCTATTTGGTTGGGTGATAAACTAAATTTTCTAAAGTCTCACTGAATGATATCTTCTAAAAATGTTTACTAGACTGTCGACATAAGCTATGTCCAATTTTCTCATATGTTTGACATTTCTCTTGTTTAATTATTAATTAGTCCCACTGTATAGCTTGATTAACCTAAATTTATTATACTGCAAACATGTCTGTACCACACCATGATATTATTTGGTACCTCTGAAGAAACACCCCCAAACTGCTAACCCTGTGATGTAGTTTTGTACAACTAAGACAGTAATACTTAATATAATATAATTATCTATTACACAAAAATCATGCATTGGCAACCACTTAGAAAATGTAACAGTTAAAAATATTATGACTGAAATATTGTTTATATATAGGCCTATATAGCATGTCATGATATTGTTCTAATTTTTAAGTTGACTGCATAAAAAAAAACATTAGGTCATGAGCCTGAATAAAAAATTAAAAAAAAAACAGGCCTATTAAAATTAATTGGATAATAATATTGGTATAATTTATGTGTAGGCCTAATACAAAAATTTTAAATGACAAAATTGAATAACAAATAAAGTATTTAGGAACTTGTTTGTTTTCACTTCATTGTATGAAGAAATTATGGATAACAGTAGGCCTAATGGTCTATGTTTTTAAGAAAAATTATTGGCCAATAATTATTAATTAAATTATGATTAGGCCTAGATAGTACTAGTAGTAGATAGGTAAATATTTTTAGAAAAATTCACTTGACTGCACTAGATTTCTAGATAGGCCTACTAAAATAGTAGTAATTAAACTAGATCTAGATCTAGAATCTAGATTTTAAGTAATCTAATTTTAGTAATTTAATGTAGATCTAGATTAGATCTAGAGTAGATTCTAGAAATGTAGATGTAGAAATCTAAGACATAGATCTAGATCTAGATTCTAAGTGTATTTATTTATTACAGTAAATTAGTAATATAGACATCTTCAGCTATTACTGTTGTTAGCCTAACTAAAGTAATATAGATTCTAAATCTAGATCTCTAGTACTATTCTAGCTAGATCTAGATCTCGATCTATAACTCTAGACTCTAGATTACTCTAGATTTAGGCCGAGTAGTCAACTAATGTATTATTATTAAAGTATTAAAGAATTAATTAAATCAATCTGATCAGTAGACTTTTGAAGAAAATCGTACTCTTCTCTAGAGCAGGCCTATTCTAGATCTAGAGAATCTAGCTAGAATCTAGATCTAGATCTAGATTTCTAGATTAAGTTATCTAGATTTCTAGATCTACATTCTACACTTGTTTACTTTTACTTTCATTTCTAGATCTAGAAGTCTAGATCTAGACTACCACTGCTCGTTTTCTGTTGTTTACAACAATTCATAAAAAATTAAATTTCTCTTTCAAAATTAGTGACAGCGCGAATTTAAATTGTTTTTAATCACCATCGCATTATCCAGATTCTAGTCTAATTCTGGTACCAAACAAACTATTATAGTACTGTTGTTGTTGTATATTTTTTTGAAGACAAACATCTTTATTTTTACAACACATTCTCGACACGCATTCAAAAGAAAAAAAAAGTGTCTTACCTTTCTCGATTGCTAAGGTGGGCAATGTAACTAAAACTTGCAGACAGACGAAAGCCCAAATCCGTCCCTCGCTTAGCAGCATGGCTGCTAATTTCCTTAATGAAAATAAGTCTCCAAATAATAAACTCCAAGTGTCACTGAATTCGTTATCATTCACAATTTTTTAAGAGAAATAGTGATTCCGTTTCATAACACAGTCCAAAATGTAGAGCGAACGACCGCCACACTGCGGGAAAAAGTTGCGACACGGTAGGGTGTCAGTAGTGTTATGAAAGGCTCGATTGCTCATGCCTGCGCAGCTCGCGACCTGCTGAGCGAAGATCGCTTCTTCGGTTCCGCCTCTCCGTCAAGATATTCCTGTTAGGCCTAAGGCTTACTGTAAAGCTAAAACTTAGAATAATCTATAGTCTATAGATCTATATTCTTATCTTTATTAGAAAAGTATTTTGTTGTAAAAATACTAAACCAAATGCATTATAAACTTAAGAATATTAAGGTTTACCAAATTTGCGATAAATATTTAGGTCAAAGACAATGAAATTTAAGACAAATAGACACACTTAAAACAATTATTTTTATTATACAGGTATTAAAATCGACAAGAAAATTAGCCAAATTACAACTATTTTAATATACTGTTGATTACTATTATTTTTTTTTCTCTTCATGTGTATACATACAAAGATCATAATAATTTAAAACTATGCGTAGTTCAGGGGAAGTAATTACAATTATAACATGATAAGATATATAAGGCCTATTCAGTGACGGGTAATTGTTCTTTCATGATATTTTTATCATGTAATATTTTTAAATTATACATTTCAAATCAAATAATAGTAAACTTAATTAAACATATATTATTAAGTCAATAAGTAGTATCTAAAATATATTATTCCACTTTGGGACACTTGCATCAAAAACCCACTTAGTAGACCTCCTTATTGTATGAGAATTCTTACAACAAATTCATTGTAAAAAATAAAATCGCGTGGATCTACTAACCATTAACTACGATTGGTCTTTTTTAAAATTGAAAATGAAGAATGTATGATTGGATGTGTCTCACCACTGTAATACAGAGGCGTAGCGACCCCTCCCGGCGCCCGGGGACAAAATTTCGATTTGCACCCCCCACTCGAACTTTTCATTTGCACCCCCCCCCCCAAAATCTCGATTTGCACCCCCCCTCAAACTTTGCTTTTGGCGCCCCCCCCCTAAGGTCGGCGCCCGGGTACATATGCCCCCCCCCCCCTCCGCCCCCTCGCTACGCCTCTGCTGTAATAATATAACTTTTTCGGTTGCTTAAAATTTGTATCATTTTAATTCTATGTAATCCCAAATTTATTTCAGCTCTACCCCCCCTCAGCCCACCAGTGCCCACCACGCCGATGGAAAAAAATGTAATTAGACGTGTTGTATTAGATATCTAGACCATCGTAAATGAATAAATGTAGGCTACAAGTAAGAAAGAAGTATTAATATTGTAAATCTGTATCAGTCCTCACAAGCCGATGATGAAAACTGTATACTAAAGCGAACATGCAAGGCAAACTGACGCTGTGTAAATTAAATGTCTGAGGCGAAAAAAAAGGTCTTTTTTAAAAAAAAATCTTTAGTGTAGGCCTAGATAAGAAAAAGGTTTAGACATCCGGCCAGCCAAGAACTCATCTTATATGTATCGGTGCAATGTACATTTTTTTTTTGTAGTTAAGCGCTTGCTAGGTTTATCTATATAGGCATATAATGTTCATGTATCTTTAACTTGTTAACTTTGAATTTTATTACGCTGTAAATAAAAATATACTTTCCCATGCCGGGAATCGAACCCGGGCCGCCTGGGTGAAAGCCAGGAATCCTAACCACTAGACCACATGGGAATATATATATTCAACCTGGAAATTAGCCTCCAACAATCACTTTACTAATAATGAAACCAATAAATGTAGGCCTATTCAATGCACTTACTGAGATTTTATATTTGTTTTTTGTTTCGTGGTTTTTGAGTAAGATTGTATTTTGTACTTTTTCCTATTTCGGGGGAGGGGCCAGACATAGGCTTACGTGGGGGTTTTTTTCTGATTCATCCGAGGCTCGGAGGGCACGTGTGAGCCGTGAGGGTACCCTGGGCTAGAGGCTGCTAACCAGCTTCTTCCATAGTAAATATATACTTTTAACAGTGTCCGCCCCCCCCCCCCTTTCCAATAATTTTAGTCCGCCCCCCCCCCCCCCGAAAATTTCAAGTGCCCCCCCCCCCCCCCTGAGAAAAAAGTCGTCTGGAAGAAACACTGCTGCTAACCAGGCAACAGCTAGCGACCTGTGTTGTTTTTATATCAGGCATTTCTCGGTCAGTCTCTGTGGGGTACTTCTCTCATAATCAGCAATAATGCCTCCCCCTCTTAACCACCCAATAGCCTTAATTCAAATGAGAATTTACATCTTCAAGTCATCTCATCATCTTTTCCTTTTCGTGCCCAAGATGCACGGGGCAACTGAAGCAGAGTTTCAGTGACCTCGGTATAAGAAGGGGTAGTGAGGTCAGCACTACGTAATGCCGCCTTTATTTTCACTAACATGAGTTGGGAGGACTCAGTAACGTGCTACGACTCTAGCCGAACCAGAGGCTTTCGGTTTAGCAGGCTTACGCTCTACCTCTAGGCCACGCCGACTCTTTTTATTTATGAAACACAGAATAAATCTTGGGTCGTTCTTCCTCTCTCACACATCGTCACAAAAGATCGCCCCCACTCCCCTCTCTACTGAGTGTTAGGTCATTTATGGACGACTTAGTCAATGCGGAGTGATAGTCTGACACCACACAGGATGCAGACAGGTTTTCAGCATAGTTGAAGCGATGAGTGCACAGAAAAAAACAACTATTCCCACCACAACACTAAACACACTAGTTCACTAATGAATCATATGTAAGCCTACACATAGATGTTAAGCTTTGTTTAAATTACGCTTTGATCTCATGTCAGGAGAAGTTAGTAGTGTTGAACAAAGACCTCGGTATAGGAAGAAATAGTGTGGTCCGTACTATGTCCAGTATTGCCCAGCTACCTTTACTTTCCCTATCGTGAGTCAGGTACCATTCAGCCGGATGAGTACCGGAGACGTCCTGCGGACTCTTCGAATTAGGTCATACTATATAACACTCCGACCACGTCGCACCAGAGGCGTAGCTAGGGGAGGGCGGGGCGGATGGGGCGGTCCTTAGGGGGCGCCAAACGGGATAATTTTAAAAAATCTTAAAAAGCTCATTCTGAGCAGAATCACAGTTGAAGTTTGTTTATTTGAAATAGACTACTGATATGCTTTACTGAATAACTTAGCTGTTTTCAATTTTTGTGACATAATAACAATTTTCAAGTAGTATTGACTAGTAAAATGCAGGGCGGGGGCGCTTTTTCGCCCATGTGGCGCAAATTTGATAGTTCGCCCCAGCGCTGGAATGAGTCGTAACGTAATATACTGATTTAGGATAGGGAAAAGATTCGCATGCCGGAAACTGAACCTATGGTGAAAGCTAGGAATTCTAATCACGTGGGAACAATCTCTTAAACTAATTCTTGACAAACATCGGAAAATGTAATCTAGGACCTCTTTGGGTTGTGTCGTTTATTTAGACTTGTGTCGAATGGATTTTGTATGAAAATAAATTGTCAATGGTTAGGGCTAAGGGAAAAATAAATTACTAAAAACCGCATGTCCAATTGGGATGAGTGCTTTTTATAAGCATCTCTTCAGAGGCGGAGGGCGCGAAATAAAATTTCAAAAATTCAAGTGCTCCCACCCCCCATCCCCCACACCTCGGAGAATAATGTCTGAAAGAAGCACTGTCCTATAGGAAGAAAACCTATTGAACAGCCCTAAACCATCTTTAGGTCAACATAGCACGTTTTATTTTGGCCTACGTCCTTAAATGCAGTGTTCCTTTCAAACATCTCCCGGAGCAAATCATCGCCTCCCCCGTTTCCCACCCCCGGACGAAATAGACAAAATATTTAGTTATTTTAAAAAATAAAGGGAATATTTAACCTTAAGCCTTAAAGTTAGAGGATAAATTAATGTTCTTCTGTGGTTTCCTATATACGAATTTTTAAATGATTTTACTAGAATAGATAGTCCTAAAATTTAGGCTACAAAATGTACAATATTTCGATCGTAAAGACAGTATTATTCGATTAATATTAATTTAAGCCTACTTCATTTTGTAGGCCTATGTCATTTGTTTCTTAATCTTTAAGGACCTAGAGTTCTTGACTAGCCAAGTTCATGTTTTACAATGTGGCAAAAGTAACCGATAAATTATTATCCTAACCTACTTTCTGTTTTCTTTTGGCAGACGAAGAACGCTCAATAAATACAATGAATGATTAGATTTAATTAGAGCAGTACTTCTTAGTTTTAGTAGAGATTTAGAAGATCGAGTCCTCTTTAAATCAACATGGCTCAAAGCAGCTATGTTAAAGAAAAGTCCATGTTGATGGCGGAAAAGAAAACATTGACTGATATGCTGTATAAATTTCAGGACCAGTTAAATCGTCTCAAGGCGAGGAAAAACACTATTTGTTTTTTGTTACTAGACCTAGTAGAATCTATACTACTAGAATCTAGACTAGATCTAGATCTAGACGTCTAGATCTAGAATTCTAGATCTATTACTTTTACTGGTAATCTATCGTTTTAGGTACGTAAAATCAGCCGAAACTAGTAATGTGAAAAAAGGTGACTCCCTTAAATTCAAAATTGTATCCTGCGTATTCGCAGGCCTAAAATCTAAAACCATCAGAAATCATTTTCTATGGCAACAGACAAATCAGCTGCCAGCTGAAGTCAGAAGTAGAGATCCTCCGGCAGAGAAAATGGAAATGGATTGGCCACACATTCAGGAAGCCTGTATCCAGCATAAAAAGACAGGCCCTCACCTGGAATCCACAAGGAAGGAGGAGGAGGAGAGTCAGACCAACAAGACCTGGAGACGTTACCTGGAAGAAGAAGATACCAAGAAGATTGGATACATCTAGGAATCTAGGGACAGTTGGAGAGACTAGCCCAGTGTCAAATATAATAGATTACTGAATAATAAACCAAAAGCAATGGCTAAATTTATCAATATAGGTCAGAAATTAACTTTAGGCAGTTGTGTTTATGAGCAAGATTTGCTACATAAAGCTGCCATCTGTAAATTAGAGTGGTTTCCCCTGAATCTCTAACTATAATTTTACCAAAATCTTAAACAAGATGGCTTCTAAAGTAAATGGGCTTGGCTGCATCTGATGAAAATATTGCTAGTCTCTATTTATTACTGAAAAGTTTTAATTTTAATACAATTGTATGAAAAAAGGTAAAGGAGTGAAACTTGAAAACATTTCTGTAACTTTGAAAACAAATCCTCCTTAAAATGTGAAATAACTACTAAAATTTAATGAGTCACCTTTTTTTCACATTACCAACCTTGGATGATTTTACATAGGTAAAACGATAGATTATTGAAATAGGCCTAATTAGAGCTAATAAATTATAATTAGTTTACTTAGCCTAATTAATAAAAAAAAATTGGATTCAGTTTTTAGTTAAGAAGAAAAGTGTATTGCCAAGTATTTAATTAAAAACCAAAATCATACAAATTCTATGGCCCAGGGCAGGGACTAGCCACTTAGTGACCTATTAAATATGACAGTAGCTTGGCAGACATTTTTTTTACGATGGGGGAGAGTGGTAAAATACCAGATCTGTGAAGATTGTAGACACCATCTGTCATTTGACATTTTTATCTCACACTTAATCACAGATCTCTTTATATGCCAACATCTGGTGAAGTGCATAGATGTCTGCAAAAATGTTATCGCACCTGAATTTTGATGTGCTGAGATTGGTGTGGTTGTGTAGTTAGGGCTCATGGCTGCTAAACCGTAAAATCCTGAGTTCACACCCCCAGGTAGATGAGGCTCAATATATAAAATAAAAAATAAAACAACTGCTAGAGGTCGGCGTGGTCAAGTTGGTAAAGCTCATGGCTGCTAGATCAAAAAGTCTTGAGTTCGAACCCTCGGGCAGATGAGGCTTGTTATCTGGGGACAGCCACTCCACTAGGAGAGACAACTCCAAAATGAAACAAGTGCTTCAAGGCTTCTAGTTAGCAGTCTACCACACTAAGATTTTGACCACACCATCCCATTGAATGTAGCCTATATAAACTATGAGAAACAATACTTTTTAAAAAATGAAAATCCAGCATGATAGAGATTTCAATTTGTTTCTGTTTAATTATAAAAGCTGTGTTTGTAGTAGTGTTATAAAGTATTTCTTCATGCTTCACCTTGTATGTGTTGGTCAATCATTTGTGTGTTATTTTTTTTTTTACATTTCTAGATTGAAGAGCTTGCACTTAAAAGTCTTATGAAAATGCAAGCCATGCAAAGTTCTAAAAAACCTGGAAAAAGTAATGGTGTCAGTAATTCTTTAGATTCTGTATCTGATATTGGAAGCTTAGTCTCAAAAGCCTCTGGTGTAAGTGTAAATTAATTTTTTAATTTAAAAAATGCAGACAAATGTGTGCTGTAATTTTAAAATATTTTTTATTATAGTATAGTGTTGTTCATATTCAACTTGAGAGCTCTTGAAGCTGTTATCGTAAGGGGATTAAAATAAATATTGTTTTCTGCTAATTTAACTTTTCAAATGTTTGGTGAAAATTGTACTAGTTTGTAATTAAATTTAAAGGAGACAAAAACTCAATCATCACTAGCTGATATTTTTACATCCGCCATTCTAAACACTTTTCCCCTGCATAGCACATAGTCACTTCAATGTATATGCTTTTCAGGCTGAATCTTACAAAGAGACCCTAAATCTCAATGTGGACACACATGAAATGGATGGTAAGTTCTGAAATATATTTAACCCTAGGTTATTGTCTGCTGACTCTCTAAAGGAAGTAGATTTTTATTTTGTTAAAGCATAACAGTAAAGTAATCTTTCAAGAATTTTAATGTGGGTTAAACAGATAAAATTTCCTTTAGTTAAATTCACAATATTTACCTCCAGATTGACTTAATGATTCTCTTTTAAATATTTCTGAAGATCTTAAAAGACTTGATGACTTCATTGAAGAAGAAGAGGATGAAGAAGAGGAAGTAATGGATGAAACCAATGAAGAAGACTATAATGATCAACTGAAGAGTTACATGTATTAATGAGTGGTTAAAGCTTGATGACATTACTAATTGGTCCTTTTTCTATCATATTTTGGTTATCACATTGCATTGAGAATGATCTCTCAGTGGCTGTGCATCTTTGAATTGTACCCTGTTTTAATGGTAAACAAAGGCTGCATTGATCTTGTAAATACTCTTTTTTTTTAAAATAATATTAATGTTTTTTACCTTATTCATGTACATTGTGTATTTTATTTTGTATTGGATTAATAGAATAAATCTCTAATCTTATACATATTAACTTACTTGATAGTTAATCAATCATGATTCTGAAAAATCTTTTATAGATTATAAATAAACCTAGTGTAAAATTAATGACCTATAATCAGTTGTTTTTTAGTTTGATTCCTGGAAATTAATCAAAGCCCTTTTACTTTACTGTTATGTTAATAATTAAGAAAATTATTTTAGCTGAACATGATTTTTAAAGCTCAAAACCTATCTGAGGCTTACCTTAGCAGCAGCTTACTTATACAAACAGCACTCATAGGGCCTGACAATGGCCATGTTTATATGGCAGTATAGCTGTGTTAAGAATTGCTGTAACAATTATGTACATCATACTCATAGGACCACAACAGCTATAAATATGTAGACATTTATGAAACAAAATATAATTTTGCTGTGCTTGAGTTGACACTTCACTGTAACTTTGTCAGTTTGGTATTGAGTTGGTTGAGTGTTTTTACTTATTCACTGATATGACCTGTTGAGTGGCTATGTTATTGAATTAAATATGCTTAACATTGAAATAAGTCATGTGAATTAGTGAAAAAAAGAATGTCAGGGTCAAGAATAAGTGTCTTTTCTCTAAAATGACATTTTGGCAAGAAAACTGATCTCTCAAAAGTGAATTCACTGAATAAACTATGAGCAAACAGGAGTTGTTTTTACTAAATGTCCAGTTTTAAAACAAAAATTGTGTAAATAAATTAAGACATTATTTATGACATTAACTTGATTAACTCAAACCACATAAATAATTGGATGTTATTTTAATATTAATCCTGCATTAGCATAAATTATTAAAACCTGGATCTTAAAATCTTATCAAATACAACTAGTTAAACTGTTCATCTTTATACTAGTATAGATTTGGAAATTGCTAGGCCCTTCTCTAAATGCAATTTTTCTTCATCTACTCTACTTACAGGGTAATATACAGATTTTTAAATAACCAATAAACCTAGATCGTATTAATATGCATATTTAATTAAATGCCCAACCAAGATTGTGTGCCTACAATTGTTACCGTAATTGAATAAATAAATGAATAAATGGTTCGCCCACACTTTTAAAATAATATTTTTAGGTATAAATTATTATTAAAACAATTTTGGGGCCGTCTGTAAATGATTCTTCGCTATTTCTACCCAGCACCCATGTCACCAATCGTCACACATCGACACTCAAATAACCCATGGTACTTGTTTCTGTTATATTGTGTAAGGGATATAACCAAGCTAGGTTGATTTTGTTTAAAATATTAATTGATTTGTTTCCCTTTGGAAGGACATTGAATTAGCTAGCTACGTTGATTTTGAAGAAAAATTAAGAAGAAGAAGAAGAAAAATTGCTAATTACTATTAAAATTTTAGTAATAGCTGACAGTCACTGAGGCTTTATTGTTTAAAATATTAATTGATTTGTTTCCCTTTGGAAGGACATTGAATTAGCTAGCTACGTTGATTTTGAAGAAAAATTAAGAACGAAGAAGAAGAAAAATTACTATTAAAATTTTAGTAATAGCTGACAGTCACTGAGGCTTTATCCGTTCCGTTTTAAAAGTATTAATCCAAAGTTAAAGCAAATAACTTTTTTTCTGCTAGTTTCTTTATATAAATAATTCCATAAACTTGGTCTTTTTTTTTCCAACCCCCGCCGGGCAAAGAGGCGCAATAGCTGAGGACAACAACCCATCTAGGAGAGAAAACTTCAAAATCAAACAACTGCTGCATTGTAGTATGTTCTTCTATTGGAGCAAATCCAAAAAGAAAATCCGACTGAAATTGGAGTCAGCTTAATACTTAATTGTGTTGAAGGAAATAATATTACGCCTATATTAAAAACGGAATGTCTTTTTTTAACACATTTACGTGAAGACATTGTTTATTTACTCTAATTAATTTCATTAAGAGATCAGCTTGATCATTAATGAAATACCTAATTAAATGAAAGGGTTTTTTTTTATTTTAAATAGAAAATTTAAATTCTATAAGATTCCACTTTTATTATTAGATCTATACGTTAAGTAGGCCTACAAACATAAAATCGTCACAAAAATCTTTATCTATATAGGCCTATAGGCCCATATATACTCTTTATATAGGTAACAACAAAGTTGTTAAAGGACTCTAATATCCTAATATATAAAAGCCCAATGTGCGCACTTCTCTCTCTCTCTCTCTCTCTCTCTCTCTGTCTGTCCGCAAAATATTTTCGCCGGACATCACGTCAGAAACGGCAGCGATATATCGAGAACTTTATACGGACTTTTGTTGAAAATAATATGTTAGATGTTTTAAATGTATAACCACAATTTTATTTAAAGAATAAAAATAAAAAATAAAGGCGTATTCGAATGTAGAAAAACAATTTTATTTATGCAACCGGAAAAGCATTAATAGATGTGAAAAAGAACGCATAAAGCTGTGACGTCACTATTGCCTATACATTAACTAATGACGTCATCTGCCGTGTTTAGAATAAAAAGAAATGAACTATTTCATTCAAATTTGATTTAGATCTACGTACACTATGAAATGTATACAATACAATTTTTCCGGCCTAAACTCATAAAATTTATGTAGACCCTACCTAGATCTAGAATCTATTCAAATAATACATTTCTATACTAAAGTATTTCAGGCTTTAATTACTTTATTGAAATCGTTGTTTATCTATGCAATTTGCTAATCTCTATAATATATAAAGCAAAGTTGTCGGGTGCCCGACAGGGCACTTCCCGGCGCCGCAGGCGCTTCAAATATGGCAGGATCTTGCCTTGGGGCGACAGAACACGGGGGCCGGTTGGCCGAAAAGTCTACGATTATGGGGTCAAAACTGACCTCGACTGACCGGCGCCTTATATGAGCTATAAATCGAAAAAAAATGTCCACGGAGGAACCTCTTCATAACTCCTGAGGTCGCAGACCGACCCTCGGGCGAATTAATTAAGCATTCAAATTCTCAATGTTTTCGAAAGCCTAAGCGAAGCTGGGCAGCATGCCTAGTACTTAAATATAGGCTGCGGTCATACTAGACCGGAAATTCCCTCAACTTATTTTCACACCTAATCGGAAAAATAAGTACGTGCGCTTGAGTATAGCGCGGACGTGATGAACGGCCAGGATGTGAACACGTCAATGGGACTGAAAATGCAGCAATGGGACCAAAGGCTGCGCAGCTGTTTTATACCATACATTATTATACATATTTATGAAGCAGACAATGTCAAATAAAATTTACATCAAAGGTGCCGGCGGTTTGTTTGCTTGTTTTAATGTGTACTGTACTATCATTACAGATCTATTTCTAAGGGTTATAGTTTACTGTCCATTACTTAGAACAGTGCTTGCCAATCTAGATTTAGGGCCCGCTCCCACATGTAAGAAAAAAATCGACTTCTAAGGTTGAGGGGGGGGGGGGATTTGTACTCATAATGCAACAATCACCTATCGTATTCTTGAGACTAGTTATCATCAAGCGTCATTACATTTCGCTGAATCTAAGAAAAAGCAATCAAGCAACTAAATTACTGATAAAACAGGCATTTATACTGTAACAATCATAAAAATAGCAGACGGAGAGGGGTGACACCAAACCGAAAAAGCAACATGTGTTGGAGTGGGGGGTAACATCCGACTAGTGACACCATTGCATTGATGAATTAACTTCGTAGATACCCATTTCAGTATGGCTTGTATTTTAGCAGAAATTTTCCATAAATTAGCAGCGATTTACTCAAAAAAGGTTGCCAACCTCTGCCTTATAGGTCGTTCATAAATAACGTCACACTGCTAGGTGGGAGGCGGGTTCGGAATTTGTGACGCAGTTTGACCAGGGGTTGGTAGGGCATTTAAAAAGTTAAGGCTAGAACATGGGTCATAAATTATTTATAGCCGTAATTACTTGTTTTTTTTTTTTTTAAGACTGTTTCTGTAAATTGAAATTGATTATCAAAATACACAATGGTGACCGAACTCAGTAAAAATGTAAGGATGAAATCGATGTTTAAAAAAAAAAAAACCTGCAATCTTGACGTGTCTTGTAGGCTGAGGTGTGACATCCTTCAAAGGAAGTGGGGGACTGACAGTGACAATGTAAGAGATGGGAAGGGGAGAGACAAAATTCGGTATAAAAGTGTGACGTCATTAATGGATGACCCCCCCCCCCCCTAACCCTTTCAGCAAAACTAGCCATGATCCAGTCTCGAGGTACGGCTAATCGGTATACTTGGATGACCCCCCCCCCTTAACCCTTTCATCAAGACTAGCCATGATCCAGTCACGAGGTACGGCTAATCGGTATATTTGGATGACCCCCCTCCCCCTTAAACCTTTCAGCAAGACTAGCCATGATCCAGTCACGAGGTACGGCTAATCGGTATATTTGGATGACCCCCCCCCCTCCGGAACATTTAGTCGTCCCCCCCCCCCCCCCCACCCGGTGAAAAAAGTCTGAAAGAAACACTGGCCATGATCCAGTCACGAGGTACGGCTATTCGGTATATTTGGATGACCCCCCCCTCCCCCACTTAACCCTTTCAACAAAACTAGCCATGATCCAGTCAGGAGGTACGGCTATTCGGTAAATTTGGATGACCCCCCCCCCCCCCCCTAACCCTTTCAGCAAGACTAGCCATGATCCAGTCACGAGGTACGGCTAATCGGTATCTTTCATCTCTCCCCAGCCGTCACGATTGTACTCCCTCATGGCACAGCTACTGGACGACTATGTGATCACGTGGTTGTTTGGGCTAGACCTGGTCAGGCGAGATGAGCCGCAGGGGTCGGTCGTTTCCTTCCACTTCCGTCTGCTCTTCCTGGCGTTTCTGTTCTCTATGTACGTGAGTGCTGCATGCTCGTGCATGTGTAGGCTATAAGCTATAACACAGAGGGAGGGGCTGGTGGGTGATTTCTCAAGCTGTATTATAAGAGAGTTATAGACCAATGTTATATATCACACTCATTTATTTTCTTCTTATTTTCGTTAAGTTTCTTGTTGAATGTAAAAGTGGACATAATTTGATTAGTCTCGATATGAATTCACGTTGTTTCTCACAAGTGGCCTAATTTTATAGCTTGGGAGTTGTTGTTTTACTAATGATAATAAGGTATATTTTTTAATAAACCAGGAGTGATATCCCCTAAACTTTCTCGAATATTCTTATATAAAACAACAGGGGATGGGAACTCGGGATATAGATCTAGTTATGATTTTTAATCCATTTTAAATACTTAAACTTTTTAAAATAGAATAGAATCTCATAGAAAAAAGTATTGCGCACCAAGCGAACGCCGAATAAAGATGTTCATAATGGTGCGCAATATTATTAGTACTTTATAAATTTAGATGTGTTTTTGAGAAATCGGAAATAGCGTAAATTAGTACTTCCCGTCAACGGAAATTACTCAAAATTTAACAGAAGGTAGAGAATTAGATCTTTTACTTACAGGTGAAATTTCATTCCTCTATCTGAAATAGTACTCAAGTTATAGGCTTTTGAAAAATTCAAAGTAGAAAAAGTATCACTTTTGGTTATCGGAAATCGCTCAAAAGTTGATACGGATCTACGATTTTGATAAAATACTTATATATGAAATTTCATCAACCTAGCTGTAACGGTACTCAAGTTATCGTGTTTACACACACACAGACACACACACACAGACACACAGACATACGGACAAGATTGCAAAATTATGTTTTTCCGTATCAGTGAGGTGTAAAACGTCGAGATTTGTAAAAATCTCGATTTTTTTTTTGCACGATTACAATACTTTCTCTATACTACGTATATACGAGAAAGTAATTATACCAAATTCAGCGATTTCACGTTATTTAATCAGTTTGTGTTTATAAACAATTTTTAAGTACCTTATCAGACCAATTGGAAAATAAAGTATAGCTTCTCTACCATCAGATCAATATATTCAATTTAATGATTGGCTATTCACCGTGTCGATACGCATTTTAAACTGTCTATTTTACCTTTTTTGTTCAACAGAAATTTTTCAATGTAATAGTTCCAAAAAAAAATTAATAATAATAATTTCCATTTTCTGACACAATCGTTACACATGAAAAATTCTAGCATATCTTTGTTTACTCATATTTGAGTGACGTTTAGACTAGAAAAACAAAATTTGGTCCCGAATTTCACTCTTTTCCATACCACATATCAAAATTATTACCTCGCACAGTAATCACTACATGGCGTAAGCAGTAGACCATCGGCTTTATAGAGCTGTTCAGACTTTGTTTAAATATTCTTAGTTCGTTAGTTGTCTTTACCTTGATCAGTGGCGTAGCCAGGATCGTCTCAAGGGGGGGGGGGGGGGGGGGGGGTTCCAATTTTTACCCGGGGACAAACTTTCGATTTGCACCCCCCCCCCCTCAAACTTTCGATTTGCACCCGCCCCCTCATACTTTTTATATATACCGAGGGGTCTATGGGGGGGGGGGGGGGTTATGACCTCCCTAACCCCCCTGCCTACGCCACTGACCTTGATCAATACTACTGTTAAACTACAGGCCTACACATGGGCATATGCATACACATAATTTCGCCCTTGTATTAATATGCACATAAACAAACATACAGGCATGCACAGTGGCGTAGCGAGGTCGGGCGTCACCCGGTGTGGCACTTAATGGTTTCACCACCCAGAGGCGTAGAAACCCTTCCCGGGGACAAACTTTCAAGCTTTCGATTTGCACCCCCCCCCCCCCTCAAACTTTCGATTTGCACCCCCTCCTCAAGTTTTTCTCTATATATTTTGCTATTTTTTGCCTTGGTGTCACCCCCCTAAATGGTGTCACCCCCCTAAATGGTGTCACCCGGTGCGGTCCGTACCCCCCCCTGCCCCTCGGTACGCCTCTGGGCCTGCACATATACAGCACACCTACATTTACAATTATCTATATCTATATTTTTTTAAACAAGTAGACTAATTTAACTTGTTTTCCAAATAGAATTTTAGTATATTCGCAGTACGTGATAGAAATTCTTGTGATGCAGTGCCCTCCCTTATTCGATACTAGGACAAAGAAATTGACAGTGAGTAATGAATATATACGATACTTTGTTTTGTTTCTGGTTAACTTTAAATGAATACGATAATTTAAATTGGGGTAAAATGAAATGAATACGATAGGCCTACTTTGTTGGGTTTTTTTTTTAGTTTTTTTTTTTTTTTTTTTTTTTCTGGAGGGGGGGGGGACATTAGGGGGGAAAAATTCTACAGCCCTATCCGGATTGTGTCGACGTATTTTACTCGTCGTTATATAGAATTTCTAATACTGTGTAAAACATTTTTGGGCACAGGCCTACTGACCTTTAAATCGATCTTTTTTTTAAAATATGACACCAACTCCACCAGGAACAAAAATCAATCTTAAATCAATATTATATATATATATTGCAATGTCGTTATGAGAAAAGGAATAAACACGATACTGAAATAGAGAAAAAGAATCAAAATACCGAAGTACAGTGGTCTGGGCGTATGGGGGAAGGGGTGTTAGGGATCAGAACCCACATGGATCCCCAATGACATCTGTCTGGATCCCCAAAATGGCATCTGTCTTAAAATGACCTACAGCTTTTGGCAACCGCTCTCTCGTTTCGCTTTCAGAGTATCTTTCAGACATCTCTTCGCCCCCTTTAAAGAAGTACACCCATCCCGTCTCCTCAAGGCAATTGTAGCCCCCCCCCCCTCCTCCGAAAGTTTCAAGTGCCCCCCCCCCCCACGGAGGAAAATGTCTAAAAAAGAAAAACTGCATTCAGTTTCATTCGGTCTAGGACGTTAGCCCCCTCCCCATTGATTCCTCCGGTAATTTCCTCAATTACCCCCCTAAATTAATTAACCCCCCCACCCCGAATATATAGGCTAGGACTATATCTATTCCTATCTCCATTCCCCTTCCATCGTCTTTCCTCGATGTATCGGTTTCTAAATTGTCTCAGTCCACGATATCAATAATCAAGTACTCTTGTAGGTCCCACCCTTACCGTTCAACCATTGTGTTTGTTATTAGGTTCCTGTCTAGTAATAAAGCCATAGCCAGTTTGTTCCTCACTGCATGTAAATGTAAATAATTTTATTTTAATTCTTTCTAATGTAGGCACTTGCGGCGGCTGTTTTAACTAAAATTTGCCATCCCTTAATAAGTGGTAAGTATGGCTGTTTTGCATTGTATTTTACTGTATGCTTGTATACATTTTATAAAAAGTAAGGTAACTGACAAGCTTTAATAACGGGAAATGACTAGTGAGGCTTTGATAAAGGAAAATAACTAGTGATGCTCTTGTAATCATGTTACTTAGTTGTGTCACCGCTGTTAAAAATATGTATTTATTTATACAAATTTGACCACGAATTTATTTATTTACAGGTTATGAGTGTCTAGGTACTTTGTTTAACATTTGCTTGAAACCTAAGTAAGTACTGTTTCTATCACTATCAGACTTTTTTTCCCAGGAGGAATGGTGGGGCGGACTTGAATTATTTAATATATAATACAATTGATTTTTCGCGGTGTGTTTAATTAATATCTTAAAGTAAAAACTTCCATAGGATATGTGAAGTGTAGAACACATTCTAAACTGTTTTATGTAAATAACGTCATAAGGTATGTCAGGTGTAGAAAATATTCTAAACAGTTTTCTGTAAATAACGTCATAACATCACTGGGGGGGGGGGGGTCGGACTTATGTGTCGAAGGAAGGACATACGTTTTTAAAAAGTGTACATTTACGCTCAAGCATTTTAAAAATAAACGTATTTTTTCATTTAATTTTATGCAGCTATCGCGATGACCCCTAACTTATTTTGCCTTTTTTTTTTAATTAGGAATTTAAAAACAACAACTTCCAAAACAGAAATCGATGATCCACACTCTTTGCGCAGTACTCACTCTGGGAGGAGCAGACGCCTGAGTGGTACGAATTCTTTCCACGACACTACCGAATATCCACGCCCACCAGTTTTGCAACCCGCACCGTCCCAAACAACGAGAGTCAACACCTCGGCCGCGCGTAAACCGCACAAGATCCGACTTCGGCAGACGCTGTGTAGTACAGCGAACGTGAACCAAAGCAGCAAGCACCAGTCCGTCAGTCCATCAGAGCTTCATAGCGTGTCTCTAGTATCTGCAGAAGAAGCCGCGACCGATCTGTTGATTGGTGACCTAAAAAGCATCCGTAAAAAGTATAATCGCTAAACCAACAAAACAAATCTATATTTAATAAAGTTTTTTTTTAAATAAATGCTTTTGTTTCTTTTATAAATTTATAAATAACGCAATTCTTTGTATAGAACAAGATCTACTTGACTTGGCAGTAAAAATCGGAAAATTTTACCAACAACTCTCGGCCCGTTCCATTTAATCAGAACGTTGCTGGGGATCATGTCTTCAGATCGTCAAAAAAGATCCGCCTACAAGTCTGTCTTGGGCGCCCTCGCTTTCGCCTTCCCTGGGGGTTCCACTCAAGCGCATGGCGTGTCACATTTGAGTGAGCCAGAGCGTGCCCAACTAGCGCCACTTTCTCCTTCTTAGGGCCTAATTGTACTGTCATATGTCTATTATTAGACACTGACCTGCCACCTAAATCTCAGAATCTGAGACATTTGTTAGTGAACCTCTGCGCCTTTTCTGTGCAGGTCTTGGAGACTGAAAATTCCGAAAACAAACAGGAGTGGAACCTCTTAAGGCGATAGGATTACTAATTATTGTAATTGAAGTTGCTTCAACCGTAATGCTTATCATCCCTTTAGACTATATCTGCAGGCAAAGTTCCCAAGGAGGATCATAACGTTGCAAGGGCAACCTATAATCTCCTCATCTAATGCCCTGGTACCTGAGGAGTGGCGTCACTAGGATGAGTGTTACCCGGTGCGGTAACTGAGAGTGTCAACCCAGCCTCTACAACAATTTAGCATTCTCAGTTTGGTGTCACCCTCTCTCACGACTAATTTATCAATTTTAGCTGGGTAAGACTGTTTCGACATTACATTTAACGATCATTCCATTTTGGCATCGCTCACTAAAATGGTGTCACCTGTTTATAGGTAAGATTTTTTTAAAAATAAATCCAAACAACACATGGCCAGTTGAGAGAGGTGAAAGAGAGCTGGAAGAAGTAAATCTAGAAAAGTTTAGCCTTTTATATAGTTGCTAAGGGGGAGGGGGTGGAGGAGACATCGAGGCAAAAATACAGATGGCACGAGGGGCCTTTGCAGCGCTGAAAAATAGATCTATGTGAAGTACTAAGCAATCAGTGAATATTACGAATCACCAATGCTAATGTAAAATTTGCAAGACGCGGAAGGCTGGCAATAAAGAAGGGCATGGGAACATAGGCCTACTTTATTACTATAATATGTTATTAAGTGCTTACGGCGAAAACTAAATTAAGAAGTGGTTTGACAAAGTAGGCTACATAACACAGCAGATGGTCGATTTTTTAAATCCAACTTAACCTACCACAATAAGGAGGTTAAGAGTACATATTTTAATAACACAGTTGATTAGAACTGTGGCAGTCTGAACAAGATTGTGTTCGCGGGGTTTCACACCTCCCTCCCCCCCCCCCCTTAATGCTCTTTTACCCACCTCTTACACCAGTCTGCCAAAAAGAGCATGCGGGCTTTTATTTTTAAATCGATCATATGTACTTTATAATTCCTAGCCTATGGACTACTCTTTGTCTACGAAATCAAATGCAAAAGAGAATTAAGTAATTTTTTTAAAATTTTAATCCGCATGTCATAGATATAAATTTCAAAAACACTGCACTTCAGCTTTTAGTTTTTGTTTTGTTTTTGTTTCATTTGTGAGTGATGGAGAAATTTAGACCGTTTTATGGGAGCAATAACAAGAGTAGGAGTTGTCACATTCGTACTCCTTTACACTCAATTTAACTTTAAACGCAATTATTTAATTAGATCTAGTCTAGATCGATTTATTAGATTTTAAAATTAATAAGTAAGTATATTAGCACTTACTAACAACTAATATTATATATTATTATAAGCTAACAACTTCTAAGCATTACTTCGCTCTTCAGAATAGTCTTCACTTCAAGTTCACTGACTGCAGTTTCTGATTTTTAACTTTTTCTCTCAAGACCAGGATGCATGACTAACATGACGAAGTTATTAATTTATTACTAATGATTGATATGATACAGTATCTATGAGTATGAATATGATGAAAATCATGAGATCAAGCTGTTTCAGTTTGTTATTCGCAGGAATCCGATTTTTCTGGCCTCAATATTCAATAAACCTGAATAAGTGAATAACTTCAATACGCTGATGATAGTGATAAAGAATAAGATGTTGTAGAGTAGAGTAGATAATTATTTTAATTAGAAATTTGACTTCTAAACTTTATTTTAGTCAAATTGTACATTAATCACTGTATGTGGTAAGCAATGACTAATGGGCTAATCAGCAGTTAAAATTAATAACAGAATGATTATTTTTACCCCCCTTTGCTACTGCTGCATTTTTACATTTTTATTTTTACAGGTTTCATGATGAAATGGAAGAGATAGTATATCATGGACCATATTCCATAGTTATCAATTTTTTATAAAATTTAAAAATGAGGTTTCGATTTTTCTCCAAATCTAAGGCTTTAAAGCTTCGTCGCTATGCCAAGCAAGTTGTTATACTGATATACTTCTCTCTTGTTGGTTTTGCCTTATTTAACTACAGAAGCCACTGTATAGAGACTATGCCCAATTCATTAATTGAAATGTCCAAGTTAGATCATTCAGATGAAGGCAGGTGCACTCTTGATTTCGAGACACTGGGTATGCTTTATATTTTATTTATTATTTATAAATATATATATTACAGATATTTATTAACAACACATTTGCAATAACAATAATATAATAAGGACTGGGTAGTCAGATGGTAAAGTACATGACTACTAACCTGGAAGTCTCAATTTTTTTTTAAATCTCTGAGTCAACCCACCTGTCTTGGGTACTTGACTCAAGAGAAGTAAAGATGGCTGGGCCTCTTTTCATACATCAAGGACACAGAAGCAATTGCACTCTACTTCATATACCCCATGGATAACAGATCTGAAAGGATACCATTATGATATAATAAAATTTAGATTCGGTTGAATTTCAATATAAAATTATAATATATAAACAATGAAATTAATTTTTTAAAGCACCTTTAAAATTCTGTTCTCAGGAGATGCAGATGTAAATATATTTGGTGAACCCACAGAGGAGAGTATTGTCGCAATGAATCCACATGTATTGAAAGGGGGCACGTGGAAACCAACAGAATGTCGTTCTTGGCAGCGTGTGGCAATAATAATTCCTTATCGTGATCGTCTACATCATTTGTTAATTCTTCTACGTCGATTACATCCAATGTTACAGACTCAAAAAATTGACTATAAAATATTTGTTATAGAACAGGTTTGTACACAACATACCTTTGAAGTTAATATATCTTTTTTGGCTTTAACCCTTAACTTTTTAAGTTTTCTTTTATGGTTTGTTTTATTTATAGAATATATGGTAGAAAACAATTTGATTAAAAGTTAAAATAAATGAAGTTTATTTTTCATTCACTTATTGAATATATATTTAAACATTGTAAACATTTAATTTACAAATATTTATTTTTGTGCTCAATTTTTTTTATAATTGTCTGTTTTCAGGATGGTACAGATAAATTTAACAGAGGGAAGTTAATGAATGTTGGTTACATGGAGGCTTTGCGACTAGGAGAATATGATTGCATGGTATTCCAAGATGTCGATTTGTTGCCTGAAGATGATCGCAACCTTTATCTGTGTGATGAGTATGCCAGACATTTGGCTGCAGCTATTGATGAAATGAGATATCAGTAAGGCTGTTGTTTGAACTTCCTAATTTGTGTCTTTTAACAACTACTGACCATAAATTTATTACATTTGGTTATTATTTTTTCCCAGTGTCATGTATTATAACTATGCTGGTGGAGTTATAGCAATGAACAAACACAATTTTAGAAAAGTGAATGGATACTCTAATTCATACTGGGGCTGGGGCAATGAAGACGATGATTTCTCTGCTAGGTATGTTGTAAAAAAAAATGTTATGAGTACGATACTTTTTTTTAAAGATAAAATAATTTTCTATTAATGTTTTGTTTTTTTATTTTTACTAAAAAAAAATGCCAAAGTATAAAAGAATGAAACTTAAAATCCATCTCATGGTTTTAAAAATGTATTTTCATGCCTTTTTAATTTTGGTGGGACAGCATGGTGGGTTGGTAGAGAAGATGATAGTGATCCAAAAAGTCTTGATTTGGGATCCCAGACTGAAGTCTGTAGAATATCCTGTCCAACCAGCTTTGATGGGCACCTGACTCACATTAGGGAAAGTAAAGGCTATTAAGCATAGTGCCCCCAACAAAACAGGTGAACTCAACTTCATGAATTGCCAGGTCTAATAGGGCAATTATTGTACACTGCACCACTTAACCAAGGAATCCCATGACTGTATAACTTTAGATGTTTTTTTGTGGACTGAACAAAAAAATAATCAAAAGAAAGTAAAAGCAGCACATGTATACCTATATTACTTTCTTTACTACCTTTTTAAAAAGTTTAAACTTATTCTCTCAAGTTGGAAGTGCTTATCACAATGATAGGTTTTTTTTTTCAAATTAAAGTAGGGCTTCTTAAGCAATTTTTAGTTTCTTAATATACCAGATCAGATTTTTCTAATTAAAACAGTAAAGCTGCTATCTCATTTGTGACAAATTACTACTAGACTTTACTCCCCAGAATTCAAGAATCTGGTTTGTTGTTAACCAGACCCCCTGCTCACATAGGACGATACAAAATGGTGAGACACACTAAAGAAACACGTTCAGAGCATGGGTAGGTGGACTTTTTCATCTAACATTACATGCTGTACTGTAACAATTTGCTTAGTTATTGAAATTTTATCATGAAAACAAGTTTATATATAACAAGACCTGAAGGTAAAATAATAGAATAATAAATTTTAGTTATTGTTTTTTTCTGTTTGACTAAATGAATAAGTCCTCTGTTATGGGGATACATTTGTGAGAATTAACAGTCTTTTAAATGTTCACTTGTAGCCTTACGCACACAAAATGTGTTATCTGTAATAAATTGTATTCTTTCTGAAGATTTTGGATAGAAGGTATTACTAAGGAAAATAAATGCATTTCTTTTATATGTTAGTAAACTTGAGAGCTTGTTCTTAAGGAAGCATCTGAAGATTATCATTGAAAGACTTGTAGACATAGCTTGTGCTTTCCTGTCTAAAGTATCCTGTTAAAAAAAAACACAGTAGTAGCACTATGTGTTAAAATATTTTTTATCATCATCTCTCAGCATCTACAACTACAAGTGAACAGCATTCCATCCTGTCTCTAGCCAAAACTTCTACCTTTTGAAATGTTAGGCTGCTTTCTTTCAACTCTTTCTTCATCAGTCCTAAAAGTATTTTTTTTTATAACATGTTGTTGTTACAGAAATGAAATGTTCTTAGGCTGGAAAACAAGATGGCCAAAAGATGGATTAAATGATGCTGTTGGTTTAAATTATACGCTGCGTGATGTGTTTGAGGGGCCTCTTTATACAAAGATATTGGTGGACATAGGAAAGCCCCCCTCTTCTATGGACGTTTATATGAGTGATCATTCCAAAGATGTTTCTATTTGGTGGTTAGTTAATAGGTTTTACTTTGACAATTTTCATGTTCTTTTGTCACCCGTATTTGTAAAACTAGTTGTGTATAAAATAAAAAGTGGCTAAGGAGGTTGGCATGGTTGGGTCGGTTAAGCTCATGGTTGCTGAACCAAAAATTCCTGAGTTCAGGCTAGATGAGGCTCGTTAGCTGGGGACAGAAACTCGTCTAGGAGAGAAAACTCCAAAATCAAACAACTGCTGTCTTATAGTTTTTTCTTGGTTGGACAATGGCTTTGGATGCAAATCCAAAAAGGAAAACAGGCTGAAATCAGAGTCAACAGCCTTTAAGGGGCATAACAAGTTGACACTTAATACTAAAAAAATACTGAATAACTTAATTGTGTTGGGGGCTATCTCTTCCAACACTAAAATTAAGAACAAAGAAGAAGAAAAGTCGCTCTCAATATTTGAAAAATGCAAAGGAAATGATAAGCCATGTCTAATTCTTATATTTCATTTCCTTAAAAATGTAAATACTTATTTGTTTAATTGATTAAAAAAATTATAAATCAATCATTTCTCGCACTTTGGCTAGTATTATTGCATTTTGTAAAATGAATTTTAAACAAGTTGACAAATATGTGTCATTTTTTATTCTCTACAGGTTTTTGAAATATTACTACCCATAGTAAAGACTGATGTGCAAGCAATGTTCCTGTGATACCACCTGTTTTTAACTAGAGAATTTAATCTACTTAGTTTTTTGCAAACTAAAAGATTTCCCTGCTAGTCATACCTGGTATTTGTAACTTAAGATTCCATTTTCAGTGGACATTTCACTGTGTTGTTTGTTTGTATTTTTTGTTATTGTAAAGTTTCTAAGTTGATTTTGTAAATGTGACCTTCCATGACAAAATCAGTGGCTTTGTATCTTTTGCTATTTTGAACTAGAGTTGAAATTTTTTAAGAGGTAGTAAAATGATTTTGGTGCTGTTATTACTAATTACCTTATTTATTCATATTTTGGCCTATGCACTATTATGGAGGAAGTTTTTAAAAGAAATGTATATCCAACATACTTTATCTAGTAGAAAAATAATATGCTTAGTATATAGATGATAGTAATTCTGAAATTTCTCAGAATCACATTTAGGATAAACAAATTCATGGTGCAATTCACCATTGAAACTAGTGTTAGATTGATTTAAAACAGACTAAAACGGTGAACATCATCCAGAGGTACTTAGTTCCTATCTGTTGTGGTGCTTCAAAGCATGGGACAACCTAAAATTTAGAGTCTGGAAGCTGAGAAAGCCAGAATTATGTCATCACTGTGCAAACATTCCTTAAGATGCTTCTTTTTTCTCTGCCCCTGCCAATTGCTTGAAGTTAAAAGAAATCTATGTAAATGTTCAATAGCTTGTTTATAATTTCATTCTTATTCTTACGCTCCAAAGATCTAATCTTATCCTCAAACATTCTGTAAATATTTTTTGTAGTGATTTATTTGCAAACTGTTTAGTTTTTTTTTCACTACCAGAATGTTCACATGTGTGCTTCCACAGTTCATATAGTTTAGTCTTGACTCCAGATCTATTTCTGTTTGACTTTTTACTCACTTTGTTGATCTCTTATAGTCTGGCTGGCCAGGTTTAAAGCTAAGTGTCATCCACACAGATATCAGAAAATATGTATTGGTACTTGTAGCTTTATAAAAATGAAGAAAAAAAGGGGATTTCTTTCTGACTTGAGTATAGGTTGTGAGTTTTTATAATAAACTGATTTATTCTACCAATTACCTAAGGTTGGCTTAAGCATAGGTAAAATGATGCTATTGTGGAAGAATATTAACAAAATTTGTTTATAGTGTCTTACAAAACCTGTGCCAAGATCAATATATTATTGTAGAATGTCATGAGACTTGTGTGAATGAAAAACAGGTTTTAAGTTATTTATTTTACTTCTCATTTGCTAAAAAAATTTTGAACCATTAGAAAATGACTTATTTCATTTTGTAAAAAGTATTTCTATTTCCATTAAATTTAACATACTGCATTCATTTTAACTAATCCATTGCTCATTTACCCAGACTTTGTACTTAGCATTTATGAAAACAGGCATTTATGCAAACAGCACAGATACAGTGGTATCTATGAAAATTAATACTCAAGATTATCCTTGCATAGCAATTCTTGCAATAGTAAGTCTCACTTCTCCTACAGCACTAGAAAAGCTAATAAATTAGCAAAAAAAACTAAGTTTCATGTTTACAATTTAATTTCAACAGATCAAACTTTTTATATGCTTAGTAACTATTTTTATAACTATATAATAAAGTTTTACACCAAGAAATCTGTTTTGTTCTCTCTTTGACTAAAAGACCACTGGTATTTTAAAAATTAATAGTAGTAATTATTGCATTCGAAAAGCAATAAACTTCCAATATCGATCTAGCACAGGGGTCGGCAACCTGCGGCTCGCGAGCCGCATGCGGCTCTTTTGATATCAAGATGCGGCTCTCCAGCTCCTTGCACAAATACTAATAATCTTAATCAAAAAATAAAATATTTGAAATAAAAAAAAGTTAGTGGCTCTTTAAAAACTGGAAAATGTAGTAAATTGCATCTTTTGGCTCTTCCGCTTCAAAAGGTTGCCGACCCCTGATCTAGCACAATACATGCTAACAATAATGCAAGAAAGGTACAGTACAAGTTTTATGAAATCACCCTTTAAAAAAAAAGTCTAGTTTAATGCCCAATTAAGGGCTCACCTAGAGCTTCAACTGTGCATTGAGCCAGAAAGACAGCAAAGCACAGGATTTTTGCTTGATTACCCTATCTCCTGCTTGAAATCTATATTGTACTATGTGATTAACAATGCACTGCCAAACTATTTTTTTTTTACAAACATTTGAAGTTTTGAGTTAGATAAGAAACTTAACTTGTACAAATTTCTCTGTGATTTCCTTGAGATAATAAATGAATCATGAAAAAGCCTCCATTTTGTATTCATGGTAATTTGAAAGATACCATAGTAGAATACAGTCATTTATATTTTAGTATTTTTACTTCTCTAGACTGAACAAGGGACATCAAAACTGTTGCTTTTAAAATTGTCCTAGTTAATGTTCAACAGCTATAAATTCCAAAAAGGAAGTTACATTATAGAGTTGGTTTTTTAAACATTAAAAAACTACAAAAGTTGTTAATAAATGTAAGCAGTTTATTTAATGAATATATATAGGATCCCAAATGCAAATAAAAATTAGCTGGTGATTTAACATAGCCACACATGTTCCATTATCCAGCCTTCTTAAATGAACACAATCAGGTGTTTCTGGAGTGGATGGTGACAATGTTGTAAGTATACACTATTTACAATAACAGTTGTAGTAAACTCATGAAATGGCAGCTATTCAGCATAATAATTATGTACAGATTTGTTTAACCACAACAAAAACTACCACAGCTCTTGCTTAGTGGCATTATGAAAAACAATCATAATCATTCGACTATAGTCTCAATACTATTAGCTCCATATATGTACAAATTATGAAAACAATATTTAAGAACTTTTAAGTGTTTATTCATCATCTTCAGATTTTGCAGCCTTCTTTTTCTTCTTCTTTTTCTTGCTGCTGCCTGCATCACCGTCAGCTGAAAATTAGAAGATAATACTCTTGTTCTGATCTGTATCTAGACAACAGTGGTTCTAGTTTAAATTCTACATTACAATTAACATCAAATTAAAAAAAAGAAAGACAGCATACCTGATGGTGTTTCTATTGACACATCCATTGAAATATCACTCTCTGAATGCTTACTCTTCTTTTTCTTCTTTTTTGGAGTTTCTGTCTCCGCCTCTTCCACGTCCCCTTTCTCTATTACTTCACTTTCAGATTGCCTCTTCTTTTTCTTCTTTTTCTGTTTCTCTGTTTCTGCTTCCTCAGTTGTTTCTTCTACTTCCAGTTTTATTTTTTTTATTTTTGGAGGTTTTACATCCGCTTCTTCCTCTGCTTTTCTTTTCATAGAGGTTGGAATTGTTGAGTCTAGAGCAGGATTAAATGTCTTCACTTCACTGCAAAACAAAAAAATTATACATGAATTAATATTTGCTCTATACTATATTGCCTTTTATCTTAGAAACTAACTAAAAGATCTTGCAATTAAACTATTAAGTCAGCTTCAGAGGTAGTGACGAATGGGTTAATAATCATATTGTCATAACTGATAAAAGTTTCCATCATTAGCAGACTTCTGAATGACTAGCTAGTCATAATACAAAATGCAGATAATTTTAAAAGGAATCTGTTCTTAAACACTTAAAATTCCAAATTATTTTTAAGAATTTTCAAAATTTTGTTAATGTATATCATTTAAATGTTGGCTCTTTACTGCTCAGGTCTCTATATATTTTTCTAATAAGATAAACTATGCAACGCTATGGAATTCCATGATCAACATTACAAGAGAAATTATTTAATCCAGTAGAAATTAAAACAAATGCAAGAGATATAAAGTTGGGTAAAAAATATTTACCTAACACCTGTATATTTTTCTTGTTTTATCTGAAATTTACCAGAGCCACCTAATTTGCGTGCCTGAAAAAATAGAAGTAAAAAAAGTTATATAAATATAAAATAAAGCAATAAACATATCTAGTAAGCTAAATGCACAAGAATACTTACAGCCTTTTCATCCAGATTTCTAACCCTGCTCTCAATTTTTGCTCTCTGTTCCACACCAAGTGTACAGTCACTGTTCTCACTTAGAGCATCAACTCGAATAGCTAATGAAGCTTTCGCTGCCAACATTCTTGAAAGCTAAAATATATAAATTTAATAATTAGATATAAGAGGGTAGGAGATACAAGATTTTATAAATATGTGGGCAAGAAAGTTACTGACCTTTCCTTTGTTTTTAGGATTAGCTCCACCAACAATTGATGCATGATATATCAGACCATATTTAGGTGTGTCGTGTTTAGTTTTTAAGGCTCTAAACAGGGCTTTTTCTGCTCCAAGGATCTGTACTGTAGACGCTGGGTGCTTTGCAAGGTTAAGCAAAGAACCTATTATTGAATAAATAACATTACAATTTTAAAATCGTAATATTTTAAATAACGACAAGAAATTCAAACTCAGAGGTGATAAATGAAGTCTGCTTCAGAGGTAGTGACGAATGGGTTGATAATCATCATGTCATAAAGAATATTAGTTTTCCATCATTAGCAGACATTTTCTAGATAAATGTCCAGTATACATTTAAAATGATTATAAAAATAAAATAAGTTATCAAAATGGCAGCCACTTGATGTTTTAAGAGGTAGAGAGAAATGTTACCTGCATGAGCAATAAGTCTTGCTCCTACTAATTCGCCAACCAACACTGTTAAATTTGGTGCAACCATTGACATGCGTTCTTTCAAATAACTGTACAATTCATCTCTTGTTTTGGACATTTCAATTACCTGAAGACAAATGTATTAACAGTAAAACACTAATAGAAAAATATTCATAAATGTTATTTGCTTTATGTGTGTGCTCTCATTCAAGATGTGTCCTCAATATAAATAGGTCCACTACTTTGTTAAATTAATCATTGAGCAGCCATAATTATTTTAAATTATAAGCAAGTTTTATACCTGATCACACAAGTTTTTAATATTAAAAATATCCTCCTCTGATATTTCTGTACCCATTGATATTTCTGCTGCCCACTTTAATTCTTTTTCCAAATGCTCAGGCAAAATATCTGACATATCCATGGTTCTGGCTGTGTTACGATCACCTGGAGAAAGATGTTAAGAAATATATATACCTACTAATAAGTACAGACAATATTCAATACTGTTTTATTTTTCAATATTGTTTTTAAAGTAAACATACCCATGGCTTTTACAACTCGTGCATATGCCAAATTGTCTGTGATAATCTTGGTCAGCTCTGGGAAATGCCACCCATACCATTCTCTCAGCCTCATTATATAGTTATTTAACTCCTTATCAACGTCATCCAACAGAGCTGTTGAATAAAAATATTAAATTAAGTCACACACTGTGGTGTAAAAAATTGTATGTTAAGTGCAAGAAAAAGACCAGTAACTTACAAACTGCTTGGACAATCATAGTATCCACTTTATCAGGACTAAACTTTAGTCTGTATCTCCCCAAGCTGAAGATGAATTTTTTAAATGCGTGAATAAAGATTTAGGTTTAATATTTACATATGAACAACAAAAAGACTAAAAAAAAAATCACTCAGAATATGACACTAAATTAACCATTTGGCCCATAATGCAGTCTATGTAAAACCAAACTATCATACATTTATACTTATTCTGGATCACACAATTCTGTCTCATGTCTACAATTTTGGATTATTAAGAAAGTGGGTAAACTGAATAGTTTATTTTTATTTAACAATTAGGTCTTAAGCCTTTTTCTCACATTTTGAGCTCTCTTAATTTTTTGATAATGTATGCCCCTTTTCTTAGGATTTGGAAAGAGGTAAATAAGGGTTAAGCTTATCTAAAAAAAAGTAACCAAAAGTTAAATACCTATGTGCAAGACCTAAAGACATCTGTGCTAAATGACTGGACTCAACCATTGGTGATACAAAACTGTTTAGTTGACTACGTATGTTTCTCATTAACTCTTGAATGGCTGAGTTTGTCACACAGTTCAAGTCATACTTTTTCTATAAAAGATATAGTTAAAAAAGTCAAGGAAAAGTCATGAAAAACTATATTCAGTAGAAATAACTTAAAATGCTTGTGCACCTACCTTGAGCAATTTACCAAGCTTGGCATCTGCAACAGCCAGTTCACACTCTGCATCTTTAAGAACATGCTTTTTGAGGATGTTCTTCAGATTTCTACTGACTTTCTCATTCTCTACTGTCAAATTAGCTGGATAAATAATTTATAAAAACATGTAAATAATTATTTCATTTTTTAGGCCTAAAGAATTGTATTTAAAATTGATCCTGTAAATAAAATAGCTAATAATAAATTCAAACTCAGAGGTGATAAATGAAGTCTGCTTCAGAGGTAGTGACGAATGGGTTGATAATCATCATGTCATAAAGAATATGAGTTTTCCATCATTAGCAGACTATGTTCTGGATAAATGTCCAGTATATATGTATAATGGTTAAGAGTGGTGCAATACAAATTTAAATCAGTACCTGCTACTGCCTCATTTATGTTCTCAAACTTTTGAAAGTGCTTGAGTTTCAAACTGAAAATAATCAATGGCAAAGGCACTGTTTAATTTATATTTTAGATTTTACAAACTTGCAATTATTGCTTCTAAATGTTTTTTTTGTAGGCCTATAATTTTTTGAGAGTGATTATTCACAATCTAGATTACTATGACACAACTAGCCAAATCTACTCACACTTTAGAAGCCTTATCTGGTGTCTCAAAGTCTTTAAATAGATTGTCTATGTTTTGCAGTTTAGCTTCATCAAGAAGCTGAAATAGATCAAATTGTAAATTTACACCGTGTAAAATATTGTAAAACAAAGGAAGGGAAATAATGGCATTGTAACATCGATAACTTGTAACATCAGATTTTCTTGAGGATTGTAATTATTCGCAACTTAAAAAATTATAATTTTTCAGAGAATGAAAATATTGATAACATTAGGGTAGTATTTCTCACTACCCCGGAGGCGTGGCTGGTTGCTAACAATATGGCGTACGGACCAGATGCATGACTTCTGACGATTTTTCGTCTTAGTTCCAGAGACCTTCTTAGAATTACTTTTAAAAATGTTTATCACGAGTAAAATGGCGGGTTTTCACGTTATAAAAACATGCTATAGGTGGCAAGGCTAAATATGCCAAAAGCATTTTAAAATTTGCTTTGGAGAATGAAGGCTAAATTTAAAAGTCGGTCTCATTAAAATTAATAGAACTTCTAAAATAGCCCGGAGGGTACAAAAATGAATTGGAGGTTGTTGAACTATTAGGATTATCATTATATGAAGGAATATATCAAATATTGCATGCACTTTTTAAAATAAGACACGACTTTTGAATGACAACCAAATTTTTTATTTTTTAAAAACCACGTTTTTATTTGCGATCACTAGTGAGGAACTCTGGGTACATGGCAATGAGTGTCAATAAATATTAAATTAAGTAATTTAGTTTAAAACTAACTAAAAACTTCAAAATGAGTGCCTAATGGATTAAATATGGATGTCTATCATTCAGTAGTCATGTTTAATTTGAAATGTGGGTAAATTCTAGATTTAGTAAGAAAAACTACATTAGGGGTTAAACTTACAATTGCAAGGCAGTTAAGTTTGGATTGTTCACAATTATCTCCCAGGCAAGATACTATAAATAAACATTTATGAACTTACAATGACCCCAAAACTGAGGCCAACACAATTTCAAACAGCTATTGCCCGAGCTATGACGTATGCTGATAAGTAAAGTCAATGCGAACTCACTGTGAACCCGCAACCATGTAGGGATTCTAGTGCTTTTTTGTTTGTTTTTTTGCCGCATTTGCGCGGTTTGCTACGTGTTACGCGTTAAGGCCGCCTTTGCGCAGTTCGCTCAGCGTTACGCTTAATCTTTGCCCTAGGTGGCACGCGATCTAAAAAAACATATCAGGAATGCCCGATATTTTTTTCGTAGTAACAATTTAATGTTGACATAGATCTAGTTCGAGTTTAAGTGTATTTCAACACCTAAGAGTCTAGTACTTGTAAAAAAAACAGTACAGTGTAGTGTCAAGGAAAGTTTGTGAGGTCAGATGACAGTCCTAGATCTAGCAGCAACCTAGCTAAATCCTTTAACCTTTAGGCCTAGCTATCTAGCATGCGTGATAGTAGATCTAAGTCAGTATTATTTTCGAAGTGTCTACTCGGAAGAAGATTTTTCTCCCTAACGTCTCCACTTAGTCGGCAAAAGATAGCTCTGCGCATGCGCAGTGACCTATGGCTAGAGTTAGGGCTAGAATGAGGGTTAGGGGTAGGATTAGTGTTAGGGATAGGGTTAGTGATAGGATTAGGGCTATGGTTAGGGAAAGGATTCGGGCTAGGAATAGGGTTGGTGTTAGGGTTCTGCGGTTGTAAACACACGCATGCGCAGTACCATCGAAAACATCGCCGCGAAGGCAAGTCGTAGTTTCTCTCCATTGCGCATGCGTATCTTATTCCGGCTAGCATCGGATTATTTATCCTACTTGAACTTAAAAAAAAATTCAATTTGCTTGAGGGGGGGGGGAGGAAGAGAGAAGTGAAGACAGACGATCTCGTGCGATAGTAAACGTAAGGCAAGCAATCACGACAGTGACGATGTTTGGAAATTTTATTTTAAAAAAAAAAGAATCACAGTCTACGTCATATTTTCAATATGATAAAAAAATGTATAAAAAAAACTAGTACCGGCCGAGCTAACCCCGGGTTCGAACTCTGAACTCCTTGTCTATGAACTTCAGACTACAGCTGGCACACTGTTGACTCAACCACAGCGGATGTGATAGAAATGCTAAAAGTAAGCATTTTGAATTACAAGATGGCAAATCAAACCTGCGAGACGCGTAGTATATTCTTTAGGGGCCACGCTTTGCGAGACGCGTAGTCACTTCGTTTTTTTTTACCTTTTCTAATTAAAAACCACATTCATAAAAAAAAAAGCAGATCTAGTGTTTTCCTAACATTTTTGTGTATTTCGGTTGTGTTTATAATAAAATATGCTCAACTGGAGGTGAACGTGAAGCAGGGTACGCTAAAATCACACTAAAATGGAGGTTTACCCTTTCTGACTTTCGAAGGCTACTGATCTTGTAGCTAGTCTCATAACGCGAGTTGAATTACCTCCCCTGACCCGCTTTTTTATGGCCACTTTCTAGTTCGTTTTTTTTTATCGCGTCTCGGCACTGTTGCTAAAAATAGCATTCGCGCAATACCATACGGGTAAATCTGTTTGGCGTCTGCTACACGTGATAGATCGTTGAATGGCCGACAAGCTGATATAAAAATTATTGCGACCGGATGCGATTTTCGTGGAAATTGAGCTAGATTTAGCAAAAGACAGCTATATTTGTGTAAAATATTACTATTTATACTTCTACTTACACAGATATTTTGATAACTGCAGTTCAGCCGTCCATTTTTCTTTTAAAATGTATCTTTAGAATTTCTGTACCTTTTGGCAATCGGTCAGGAGCATTTGCGCACTAAACCCACCCCCCTACGGCGGATCCGATTTTTTTCCCAGTGAACTCGTACTGACCTCCCACATAGCTAAGATAGTACATTGATACTGATGGGAAAGCCTCTAAATCTGTATTCCTACTACTACTAGAGATCTAGACATAAATCTAGATCGTGGAGTTTTTATAATGACTTTTAAATTGAATGTCTCCAGTTTAAGATATTTTTTTTTCAAAACATAGCTACTTTTAGTACTATATTTAAGTATTTCAAACCCTTTTGGTAGTTTTTTTCTTAAACTTAGACCTAGATCTAGTGATTAGATATCTATATTTTGTACTTATAACTTGCAGGCCTATTAAAATAATAATAAAACTGTTTGCTTGATAACTTCATTAGGTCATTTCATAAACACAAATGTTATAAACATTTAAAAATCACAAAACCATAGGTAATATCTGAATTCTGTAGCCTACCTTACATTTAGGCTAATACTGAATTAAAAAGAAATTACATTATAGCTAGGCCAATGCAAAAATTTAATTTCAGTAAAACAATATAATAGTTACATATTTGGATAGGGGCTGTCAATCTGATTACAGATCAGTTTGAATTTTCAAAATCTGACCATAAACAAAAAAGTTATGAATTTTTTAGTCATTAAAAAACAGCAGTTTTTTCAGACAACCGGGGTAGACCCTGAAAGAGGAAAAATACTGGGAGGGTATGGACCAAATTTTTAAGCGTTTTTCACTAAAAGTGGTATAAAAGCCAGAATACTTTATCAATTGATGTAATTTTAAGACATTTTATAGATTTTTGTATGCTGAATCCAATGATGCTATTTTAAAAAGTGTCCTTTGATTACTCAACCTACTAATCTCATAGATTATGTAATACCCCCCTTTAAATTTTTTTTAAACATCTAATAATCAACGTGATAAGAAGTCATTCTTTAAATGTAACGCTGTTTTAATCTAAAATATGACATTTGTATATGCTCAAGCTAATGGTAGATTTGAAATGGTCCAACATTGTTACATAACTATCAAATGTAAAGGTTATGTAATCCCACCCTTTGCTCAAAATATACCATGAATTTGTTTTAAAATCACTTTTGCTCATTGTCAGTTAACTTCAAGTTAATAGCCTACTAGAAGAAAATATAACTAATCAAGTTTTTCAATACAAAGAGAAGAATGCTATAGTAAATTTGTGATTAGGTAACTTCTTAAAAGATGTTATGTAATCTATGTGCAATACTATAGGCCTACTCTGTTCCAAAAATAAAGGCCTATCTCATTATAATTATATTTCTTGTTATTTTAAATATCTTAATCCTTTTTGCTATAGAATTAGTCTAGTTACAAATGTGTCTGATCAGAATCAGAGTGTGCTTTATGGTAATTATGTAATATTATTACCCATATTAAAGTTAATCATTTTTACAATGTCAATAAAATAAACTTTGGAGGAAAAAATTTTTTTTTTTAAACTTGCACAAGGTATAGATCTAGTTATAGATACATAACATAAATTTATATTTATGCCCAATGTTTATGCTAGTAGTAAGTATGTTTATGTATTTTGTAAGCCTACCAGTAGGCCTTTTACAATTAAAAACTTTCTTAAGAAAAAAGCACGTGTTTGAGTGCTTGACTGTGTAGATCTAGTAGATTCTAGAAATTGTGTAAGATTACCGTGTTTGGCTATACACAGACACGTGTACCACCACCAGCTTTTGCCTAGATTTAGTTCAATCAGACATGTGGGTAACCAGGTCTTCTGACCAACGAATTTTATTGCCCTATTACGTAAACACGACCGTTGGATAGGCTAGTCGGCCAACCCCAACCCGATGAACGTGTCAGATGAATAGTATGTAATCTCAGAGACAAAAGTCTGGCAAGATTTCCTGATCTATGCCCGAGGGTTAGTAACATCCACAAAGTGAAGGGGGGGGAGGTGGGGTATGAAACCACCGTGTACCGTACGGGTGTTATACAACATCAAAAGCTATGCTCGTCGGCTTGTCGCGTCACGGACTAGTGGGGGCGGGGTGAGGTTATGGGTGTTACATACAGTGTAGGATGGTCAGTGGCTACCCTCATCCACCCCACCCCATTTTGGTCGATTTGGCAAGCTAGTGGTATTAAAATTTGTAGAAAAGAGCCCCGGATATAATTTAATTTATTTTTAAAGCCATTTTTACGAAAAAGTAATGTACACAATGATGAAACGTTACACGAATCACATCACAACATTGTTTGATCGGGCCGAAGCTATTCGGATTAATTT